ATTCTTTCACTTTAATTCTCGTAGTTCAGAAAAGTAAGTATTTCCCCTACAGGCTTTCAAGTTGTTATATTTGAGACACTGTCCCGGAGCTTCTCCAATAGGCAATAAGCTCTCGTCCTTTGTAACCCCCTACAAGCTTTTAGTTATGTATGTCCTTTTGATGACCCTTACCTGAAATGATCCACGACATACTGCATATTCAGTTAAGTTGAGAGTGTTGTGGAATCAATGTGCATGGTTTTTCTTCGTACTTTCATTAGGTAAGCATAGAAAAAGAATCAGGAAAGCTTCCAAGCCATTAAAGAGTGTGGTCTCACCAGAGTTTGCTGCAGCTTATTGTTTTACGCTACACACATGCACAAAAACAAGTAGGTAAACAATGCCTTGCTCCTTCCACCCTCTAGTCGGATTATTTCATCTCAAAAGTGAGACAAAGCAAAAAGAACACAAATTTATTACGATGACGATAACAGAAATGTTAAATGGCAGAAATTCGCAACTGTTTTGAAAACGAGAGGCAACTAACACATGAAAGAACGTTAAAACGAAGATGGGTTGAGTCAATGTTGTCGTCAGAGGTTAGACGCGGACTATAAACAAACGGAAGTCGAGCCACTAACGTAGGTGAAGAAGTGAACATTGCGTAACTACGCTGAGTTGCGAATTTTGTTCTTGGGGCCATCGCCGGAGCCATCGTTGGGGAATGGGGCCGAGTTGAGCATAGCTGCAGCTGTAAGGTACTGGTGCAGGTTGGCATGTGGGACGGGGTTTGGCGGAATGGGTTGTCCTACGAGATGATGGTGGTGCTGGGCAGGATGGTGCATTCCTTGGCGGACTCCCAAACCGTAAAGGTCAAGCGACTGGAGCAGGTTAGACAGGAAAGCAGGATCGCTCAGAGTGCACCTGAAAAATTTCTCTTCTAGAAACAAATCTGCCTTATCTTTCAATCTTACGAGAGAAGATTTTTGTAGTAGTCATAGTAATTGCAGTTCACGTTGTTTGCCTGCTGCTGCTGCATCGGATTTATGGTTGTGAGCATCTGAGCGAGAGCCGTGTACTGATCCTCCACTTCACTAAATGATATAAGATCTAGCAATGTGTTTTCTCAAGAATAATGAATACCTCTTTTTGCCCTGTTTCGCTGCTTCCGCAAATTGCGAAAGAAGGCGAGCTTGCTCGGTATAGGAAGAGTTATCCATGGTGGTTGAAAAATGAGCAGGAGATGAAGGGCGAGTCGCTTCACTGCCGCCTGAATTTCCCTATCATGCTCGGATGGTCCTTG